GCATGGGGGTGGAAGCATCATGCTTTGGGGGTGTTTTTCTGCACATGGGACAGAACGACTGCACTGTATTAAGGAGAGAACGACCAGGGTCATGTATTGCAAGATTTTGGGGAACAAACTCATGACAATGACCCAAAGCGCACAGCCAGGATAACCAAGGAGTGGCTCTGTAAGAAGCATATCAAGGTTCTGGAGTGGCCTAGCCAGTCTCCAGATCTAAACCCTATAGAAAATCTTTGGAGGGAGCTCAAACTCCGTGTTTCTCAGCAACAGCCCAGAAACCTGGCTGATCTAGAGAAGATCTGTGTGGAGGAATGGGACAAAATCCCTGCTGCAGTGTGTGCAAACCTGGTGAAAGACTACAGGGAATATCCTGATGCATGCTCAATAATCCAGGTAGAAAAATCTAAAAAAGTTCAATCTGGTCCTCTGGACATACAAAAACAAAACAAAGCAAAAACAACAAAAAAATGTAGAAAGGTTTCGTCTCTCATCCGAGAGACTTCCTCAGTCTGAGGTGCTGTATTCAGCTCAGTCTCTTAAATAGCACCTTCTCAGAGTGGATCAACCAGTTTTGCTGCTGACAACCAAAACCAGCTGATCACATGCTCAAGAAAGACCATCAGCCTAACAATGGATAATTAGCACACTGATGGCTATTTACTATTCACAGAGGGCTGAGTGATACTAGCAATCACAGCATTGTAAGAGGGGGACAATTGAACACATAGGCCTCCACCCCTGTTTAATGATGGACGATTTTTTTTCACAAAGATGGCCTCCTTTACTCCTCTCTCAAACCATCGTTCCTCTCTATCCAGGATATGCATATCTCAATCCCTGAAAGAGTGACCGCTGGCCTGGAGATGAGTGTAGACCGCAGAGTCCTGGCCTGATGATGTTGATCTTCTGTGCTGGGCCATCCTTTTGGCCAGTGGCTGTTTAGTTTCCCCAGTGTAAGACTGATCACAGCCCTCCTGACACTGAACAGCATACACAACATTACTCTGTTTGTGCCGGGGGACTGGATCTTTGGGATGAACCAGTCTTTGCCGTAATGTATTTTGGGGTTTAAAAGCCACTGGGACGTTATGTTTAGAAAATAAACGTCTCAGTTTCTCTGATACTCCCTCAACATATAGAATGACCATTGGTCTGGGTTCCTCATTTTCGCCTGTTGGCTGACTGGGGTCCTGTTTGGGTTTCTTCTCTGCTTTCAGGAAGGCCCAGTTAGGATATCCACATTGCTCTAGAGCCTGTCTTGTGTGGAATTTCTCCTTCTGCCTGGCTCCTGAGCTAGTGGGACGCTGTCTGCTCTGTGATACAGAGTCCTGATGACTCCTAACTTGTGCTCCAAAGGGTGATGGGAGTCAAACTTCAAATACTTGTCTGTGTGGGTGGGTTTGCGGTACACCTTAGTTTGCAAATGTCCTCTATCAGAGACTGAGAGGAACTACAGGAAATGTTTGACCTCTGTAACTGCAAACAAAGGCCGTAGCCAAATATACCAAATATTAACATTGATTTTCACAGGTGTTCAAATATTTATTTGTAGCAGTAACACATACAAAAATAATAAATAAATCATATATTGTGATTTCTGATTTCTCTTTTTTAGATTGTCTCTCACAGTGGACATGCACCTAAGACGAAAATTTCACATCCCTCCATGATTTCAAAGTGGGAGAACTTGCAAAGTTGCAGGGTGTTCAAATACTTTTTTTCCTCACTGTATTTCAAATGTTTATTTCTTTTAAAGTTGATTATTGCAACTAATGAAAACCCCAAATTCAGTATCTCAGAAAATTAGAATCTTGTGAAAAGGTTAGGTATTGAAGACACCTGGTGCCACAGTCTAATCAGCTAATTAACTCAAAACACCTGCAAAGGCCTTTAAATGATCTCTCAGTCTAGTTCTGTAGACTACACATCATGAAGAAGACTGCTGACTTGACAGTTGTCCAAAAGACGACCATTGACACCTTTCACAATGACGGCAAAACACATAAGGTCATTGCTAAAGAGGCTGGCTGTTCACAGAGCTCTGTGTCCAAGCACATTAATAGAGGCGAAGGGAATTATGTGGTAGAAAAAAAGAGTACAAACAATAGGCATAACCGCACCCCGTAGAGGATTGTGAAACAAAATCCATTCCAAAATGTGGGGGAGATTCACCAAGAGTGGACTGCAGCTGGAGTCGGTGCTTCAAGAACCACCACGCACAGACATGTGCAAGACATGGGTTCCACCTGTCGCATTCCTTGTATCAATCCACTCTTGAACAAGAGATAGCATCAGCAGCGTCTCACCTGGGACTGCTGCTGAGTGATCCAAAGTTTGCATTTCCTTTGGAAATCAAAGTCCAGAGTCTGGAGGAAAAGAGGAGACACAGAATCCATGTTGTTTGAGGGCCAGTGTCAAGTTTCTACAGTCAGTGATGGTTTGGGGTGCCATGTCATCTGCTGGTGTTGGTCCACTGTGTTTTCTGAGGTCCAAGGTCAACACAGCCATCTACCAGGACGTTTTAGAGCACTTCATGCTTCCTGCTGCTGACTGACTTTATGGAGATGCAGATTTCATTTTCCAACAGGACTTGGAACCTGCACACAGTGCCAAAGTTACCAGTACCTGGTTTAAGGACCATAGTATCCCTGTTCTTAATTGGCCAGCAAATTCACCTGAACTTAACCACATAGAAAATCTATGGAGTATCGTGAAGAGGAAGATGTGATACACCAGACCAAACAATTCAGAAGAGCTTAAGGCCACTATCAGAGCAACCTGGGCTCTCACAACATCTGAGCAGAGCCACAGACTGATCGACTCCATGCCACGCAGCATTGCTGCAGTAATCCAGGCAAAAGGAGTCCCCAACTAAGTATTAATTGTTGTACATGCTCATACTTTTCATGTTCATACTTTTCAGTTGGCCAACAATTCTAAAAATCCTTTTTTTTTATTGGTCTTAATATTCTAATTTTCTGAGCTAATGAATTTGGGGTTTTCATTTGTTGTTAGTAATAATCATCACCATTAAAAAGAAATAAACATTTGAAATATATCAGTCTGTATGTAATGAATGAATATAATACACAAGTTTCACTTTTTGAATGGAATTACTGAAATCAACTTTTTCATGATATTCTAATTAATTTTATGACCAGCACCTGTGTGTATTCATCACAACACAACAACCCACTCAATGTCGTCTTTTAGCTGAATGTGTTTCCTGTAGCTTTTTGCTGACCTTTTACTTTTAAAATGCAAAAATGTCATTTCAAGGTTTTAAATAGTTTACTCTTTAGTTGTTTATAGGCTGAATATGATATTTTATTGCTGAAATTAACAATACACAACTGTAATTTTGTTGATCTCACTTCAGATGAATTATTTGTATTTTTCTTGGTGAAAAAATCCAGTCAAGTGACGCACTTTTCCTGTAATATTCCATACACAGCTCAAGTGTACTCAGGGAAGCCCAGGGAAGGTCAGTATTCCAGGCACCACAACATGAAGGAAGGAAATTTAACAAAATTACTTAAGACAGAGAAACATTGAGCAGTAGACCAGTGTTTAGATTATGTATCTGACGGGTGTACTTGACATTAGATAGAGTATTTTAGCAGCTTGCCTAAAAGTCTGTGGGAGTTCTGTTCCCATTTTATTCTGCAAAAACCAACACATAAATATTGTAGAAGTTTGATTGTACTTCAGTTTGGCAAAACGCTCTTACTCTAAGACTATTTTTATTGACACCTGTCAGAAGATAAATGTACCAGCAAGACTTACCTATTTGCATATTAATTAAAGATGCAAATAAAGAGTTCAAACCTGTACACAACACTGACAGGTCCTGTTCATTAATATTATCTATTAATGAGTAGATATAAACTTGTCACAGAGCTTTGTCATCAATAAATGTTTGATGAGGCTCAAAGTAATATTACAGCTCAGAATTTGTAGGATGAAAATTAATTACAATAAACTATATTTTCTTAACTTGTACATTGAATTCAGTCACATAGTCGCACCCAGTGACAAAGTGCTTGTGGTGTTTCTAAGTATGTTGAGAGGCATACTGTTCACCCTCAGTCTAAAACATTAAACCTGTTAGTTCACACAGTTAGGACATTTGAGTTTGCTATGCAATCTGCTGCTTTATGCTAATGTGCTAAAGCGTAGCATTACACCCAGTGTTTGTCTAAATAAGTTATCACATTTTATAATTAATAAAATGTGCGACCCACCTGCAATAATTTTCTTTTTTTTTTTTTACAGGAGCCAGATGAACAGGAAGCGCCTGATGATCAAGACTCCTCCCCCCCTGAGGACACGTCTCTTTACCCCCATTCTCCTGGAACCACCCAGTTTCAGCAGGTAGTGTCTCCTAGTTCAGCACCCACAGCTGGTGAACGGATTTGTTGCTGGGACTGTCGAGTTTGTCTTAAAGCACATACAAATAAACCTTTAATGCTTTATTTTCTGCTTGTGCTCGTAAAATTAAAGAGTCAGGTCTCCACTCGGTTTGTCTTCAGTGATTCTGCACTATTCTCATACAGTTTAAAAATGCAGGTTGTTGAAAAAAATGGGCAGTAATGTGATTATTTCATTTGATTTTTACTGACTTCCTGTTTGTTCAGAGCAGACTCACACTAGAGAAGCTGAAAAGCTTGAAAATGCCAGAACTTTAACACGTTTCTGTTTTTATCTGGAGGATTAGAGTTAGTTTGTAGGTGTTAGTTGAGCCATTAAGAACAACAGTTAGTTTTGATGAATGAGAGCTTCATGTGTGCAGCATTGGATTCTCATGACGCTCCATGAAAACAGCTGTTTAGTTTTTGAATCAAGTGCTTTGTTGACGGTAAAAACTCGTTCATATTTCCTTAATTTACAGTTGTGGAGCTCTTTAAATCATTGAATATATTAAGTTTTTCGCACTTTGTTACAAAATCACTAACAAATTCCCAATTTTTCTTCCCAAACAGAACAACCACCCCCACGGGCAGCCGTACACTGGGCCTGCTGCTCAGCACATGAACAACCCCCAGCGTCCTGGCCCGGCTTCTGCTCCAACTCCAGGCCCGACCCAGACCTCGGGTCTCAGTACCACTCCTGGCTCAGGCTCGCGAGCACCAGAGAACTGGGAGGGCACTGAGGAGGTTGCCCCACCCCCAACCTCCACCCCAGCGCCCGCCCCACCTAAGGAATAACCTCCCTTCTGCTGTGCCTCGAGCCTCCATCGTCCTGATCATCTTCTCACCCTTCAGTAAACTGAGCTCCTCTTCAGGCCTTTCTGTTTCTCTCGCTGACCCCAAGGTAGGGCTGAGCCAGGCCTCCCATCGTACCCCACCTCCTCTTCTCCAGGCCACCTCTCTTCCCCATCCACCCTATGGGAGGCGCTCTTCCCTGGCCTGGAGCTCAGTGTGACAAAGGGCCTGCTCGTGACTACAGAGGCGAGAAAATGGACAAGATAAACAAAATGTCAGCTGACGATGCTGACACGCTTATCTAAACAAGGTGTACATAGTTGATGTTTTTGACTGTTCAGGTTCTCCAGTAGCATAACTCCGTGCGGTTTGCTGTTGGGAGATGTTTCAGATTTAATGAAAAACAAGATGGATATTATAAATAAGAAAAAGTTGCCCCCGCAAAAAAACAAGAAAAGAAAAAAAAAGAAACAAGACGACGACGACTCTCTCACCCATGCTCAGTAGTAAAGTTTGTTCAACTATCGGACACTATCTGGTCATTCAAACGTAGGACGACACATTGTTATCATAGTTGTATAATTATTGTTAAGCTCCTTGGCGACCTTATGACCCCATGCCAAACGGACTCACGAGCTGTGGTTGGTTTTAGTGTGAGACTTGGAATTATGGGGCGGGCTTTGAGGGTGTTCGGTTGATGTGAAAAAGCAGCAATGCAACATTGTTCTAAAACCCGTTGCCTTTCTTTTGTTTGTTCTGGTTATTAATTTAACTCTTTCTGAAGCTCGAGTTAATATGCTGTAACATTTAGCATGGCTTCTCACCACGATAGTGTAGCCCGAGGGGAAGTCGTGATCATAACAACCCGAAGCTGTTCTTAATCCACATCTCAGAGGGGTGGTGGTACCCTTTAGTTTGTTTTTTGTTTGCATTTGCTCTTTTTTTTTTCTTCTACTCATCCACCCGAACTACAAATGAAGGTGGGTTCTTTTGAAGCAGTGTACAAGTGGCTTTTCAATAGCACAATATAATCGTCCAACTTCATATTTGGCAGTCAGTAGTTTTCATTTATAGGAGTTCAGAAAAAAACACAATATTCAACAGGATTGCTGCACTGGGCTGTCTGGTTTTTCTATAAACTGTGGTTTGCTTCGGTCTCTTCAGTAGAGTAGTCATAGACAGACTTGTTGCCCGCGGGCTTCGTCTCTGTCATGGAGCTGATTAGTCCAGTGTCTCGTGAGATCCTGAGCCTCGCTCCACAAACGAGGTCCGACAGTTTTACCACAAGAGTAGAAGCTGGTTAGTCACGTTGAGCTCACTTGTAATCCTGTAGGAGTGAAAAGGCAAACATCAGTAAATACTGTATTTAATTGGTAACTTGAATGCATGTATTTTTTTTTTTTTTTTTTTGTCTAAAACATACCAAATACTCCTGCAAATGAAAATATTCTGCCCATCGTATTATATTTAAATATTCTGCTCTTTATTTTATAGAACTTATTTTGTTGTATTTCACTAAAAATAGAATTTGATTTAAGAGGAACGTTTTTCGTCCTTGTGTTATTTTTAAAGAAGATATTGACTGTACAGAGTTCTGCGCCCTGTTTTTTGCCGACTTTTGTTTTGGCCATGGTGTGACATTGAATTCTGGAGCTACAGTCGCGACGTGGACTTTCACTTTGTGAGGTTTCTTTTTCTTTTTTTTCTTTTTTTTGTGCACAAAATATAACAAAAAGAAAAAAAGCATTGCGCCCTTAGCAAATAAAGAACATGGAATCTTGCCTGTGTCATTTTTAATTGTGAACTTTCTCATTCATGTTTATTCTATAGGTTGGCAGGTTGAGTGCAACATTATTGAGGTTAAATCTATTTAAATATTAAGAAGTTTGACAATTTTTCATTCCTATTCATAAAATTAGATATTTAGCATTTATTAGCTTTGACATTCTTAGGTTTTGATTATTCCCAGTATAAAAAGCAGCTGTTGAAGCATTGTTCCTGTTTTTCAAAGTTCATGTTAAATAATCCAGGTCAAAAATCCAACAAAGTTCAGTCAGGTCATCTGAGCGGTTTTTGTTGAGACGTTACATCCTTCATCCAAAGGACTTCATCAGTCCGAGGAGCCACAAACAAACAGTCCCACAAGCAGTGCAGTCCCAGTGCGCCAACTGGTTTGCTGGTGATAAGATGGTTTATTTGTTTTTCTTTCAGCTGCTTCTATGAAAGGTTTGATGATTGTTTTACACCAAATGCACATCATGATGCAACCTGGGCTCAAACCTCATACAGTAACCACTATAGGTACCTAAAAAAAGTTCAGACAGCCCTACCCGATTCAAATCTAAGTATATCAAGTGAACCCACCACGTATTAGTCAGAAGTCTTTCTTTGCATTTCATTTACATTTCCTGTACACGTCTGACTTCAGTTATACTCGAAGACCTGCCACATGCAGAAGTGCAGTACTCAGATGAGACTGCAGACATTGGGTATGTGCAGGGAGGACAGGAGCCTAGTTGAGAATTTCGTGGTGTGCAAATCCAACCACGTACAGCTGAACATCAGTAAAACAAAGAAATGCTAGTGGACTTCAGAAGTCTGTCTCAATTGAGGGGGTCGATGTGGAGGTGGTCAAGAGGACTAAGCTCTCTCGGGTACATGCAGGATTTTGCAGCTGCACAGGAACAACATTGAACTACTGCTTTATCTGAATTAACTGGGACCGGAAGTACTTCCTGTAAATTAAACAACAGTGGGTTGAACTTCTAAAGTGAGGCAGGAATATTTACCAGAAAGGCAGAAGAAGAAAACGTTGGTTACGTACTGTAACCCCAGATTCTATGAGTATAGGCGTAGCCCTTTAAGGCTTTCGCTTAGTGGGTTTATCCCGTTATGCGAAGCATTAGCACTGAAAAATTTAGTCCACGCCCACCTGCTGTGTGGGCCCCACCCGGTCCGTATAAATTACGTTAAGAGCGGGAAATCGGCTCCCAAAATAGCTTTTTTCTTCAGCCATTTAGGAGTCAGTGAGGCCCGACGCTTAAAGGGCTACGCCTATACTCATAGAATCTGGGGTTACAGTACGTAACCAACGTTCAATTTCGTATAGGCTTCGCCCTTTAAGGCTGTCGCTTAGTGGGTTAAGGGCGAAGCAGATGTGGCCCTCGCCTCACTGGGTCCATTCGAACACCGTATGAAGCAGAAGCTTGCCCAAAAAAGTCTAATCACTCAGCTCCCATGTGCGTAATTACGCATTGCGTAATTATGTGTGCCATGCACAGACGCATGTTGCGTAACTATGCATTCTGAATGCATGAACGCCCCGGAAAACATCAACGGGCAGGGAAAAACGCTGAAAAGAGCCATGAACCAACCGGTTTACGGCTCAACCGTATGAACAGATTAATATAACAAGAGAGCTGATTATTAATCAGATGAACTGATTGGTAACAATAGTCGTGAACTGATTAATGACAATAGAACCAAATAACAGTCACAACTTGTGACTGATAACATCTCACACTGTAATGCATGCAGATAGATGTGAGTAAAACAGAGTTCCATGAAAACAATAATATTCATTCTGTAACACTAAAGACAGAATGTGTCATGGAACGAGCCGTCACATCACCTAAATAAAAGCGAATAAATGAGCAGGGTGTTGACCGCGCGGCCACAGTGCAAAATGTCCTGCATTGACATACCATTATGCAACGCAGTTGAAGATGCGATACTGGTCCTGCAGGTCCTGATCAAAGCTTCAAAGCAGGTCCTGTCAACCTCAGAGTGTGCTCTGAGGTTGACAGGAGACTCTAAATCTGATGCTCTGTAGGCTTCAGAAATAGTCTCACACAGCCAGTGTGACAAGCGCTGGGTGGATAACGGGCGACCTGCAGATGCATCTCTATAATGCACAAACAGATGTTGACGCATTGCGGCTGTGCACGCTATGTAACACGTCAACGCCCGCACAGGACAGAGAAGATAAAAAGACGTTACTTCATCTGATCTGTGTGAAAGGGGGGGGGGAGACGACCCCTCCAACGATATCGCTCTTGATTAAAAGAGCTCGTGATGTATTAGGCATAAAAGCTGGGTTGGTCTAAAATCAGCTGAGCTGCCGTCAGCCTAATTTCTGAGACATGACGGAGCGACAGAGAGGGCAGATAAACACACTCACTCTCTTAGCGGATGTTAAAGCCAGCAGCAGGGCTGTTTAAAGAGACAAGAATTTATGTGGAACCTGATCCAAAGACTCAAATGAAGCTTTGATCAGGACCTGCAGGACCAGTATTAAATCCCACTGGAAACAAGTGGGTGTGAGACAGGCCTGCATCTCTGTACACCTTTTAGAAAACGCTTCATCAGCGGATGATAAAACCTGTTCTGTCTCAGAAACCTTCATGTCAGGAAGAGATGGCTGCAGCGTACGTTTTAAACGTGCTGGATGCAAATTTCTGTCCATCAGCTGCTGCAGAAAGAACAGCATGCCACCTAAAGAACATGAGGTGGCCTCTACACCCTTCTCTGTACACCAGCACTGAAAAGCTGTCCGCTTTGATGTGTACATGGCTGTGGTAGATGCACCACGAGAAACCTGAATTGTGCGCATTACATCCTGTGGGCAACCCATCCTCTCTAAGTGGATTCGTTCAACGGCCAGACCCACAGGTGCTGGCCTATTTCTGGGTAACTCCTGGTCGCTCCTCCTGCCTGGAAGGAGAGCATCCTCCCTCTACGGCAGTTTCCACGGGTGCCCCGACAGCAGGCATTTCAGGGCTGGGAACCATGGTGCACCTATGCGCTCGGGGCCATCAGGAGAGCTGTCAATCCCTCCTCCTGAGCTCGGTTCAAGAACCGTAAGATCAGAGGAGGTGGAGAAAAACGCGTACAGAAGCATTTTGGGCCATGGACTGTGGACAAACGCATCCAACCCCCAGCGGTGGTTCGTCTCATGGGCTCAGAGAAGCGCATAATTGACACTGAGCATTTCCCGTGTCACAACAGGCCCACAGCTGCTATATCAATCTGAGACAAAATGCTCCGTCAGAGGCTGATTAAAGGTTGTTCTGTCTACGACAACTTTGAGACAAGAAGAAAATACGGTTGCAGCATACAATAGTCGTGCTGGACACTAGATTTCTGTCCCTCGGCTGCTGCAGAAAGACAGCATGTCGTCCAGTGGACATGAAGTGGCCTCTACGCCTTTCTCTGTACAGCAGCGTTGAAAAACTGACCACTTCATGTGAACAGTGCTGTGGTGGTTGCAGCACGTGACTCCTGAATCGTACGCACTACATCTTGAGAGAGATCCATCCTCTCAAAAGATCTGCACAGCGGCCAAACCACAGGTGCTGGACTATTCTGATTAATTCCTGATCGTTCCTCCCACCTGGAGGAAAGCGTCCTCCCTCCATGGCAGGTTCCACGAGCGCCCTGATAACAAATGTCGTAGGCCTGGGAACCATGATGCGTTCACGCACTTGGGGCAGAGGGGCTGCCAGTCCCTCCTCCTGAGCTCGGTTCAGAAAACCGTGATACCAGAGGGAGAGAAGAAGGTGAGAGGCAT